CACCAAGCCAGCACGTGTTGGGGGGACCTGTGCGCTGGGGTGGGAGGGTCCTGGAGGCCCTGGCCCAGACAGCCGTGGGCAGCTCATGGCCGCAGCCCTGTGCCCCCCGCACCTGTACGATGGGAAGAGGGAGGGCGGCTGGCACTGGGCGGGGCAGACCGGATGGACTGGTGCGGAGGGGCCTGGGCTGGGGGCGGTCTGCCCGGGTGCTGAGTGCCTGTCCTCGTCCCCTCGGGGGCGGGGCTACCGCAGACTCAGATCAGGAAGCCCAGGCCCAGAGAGGGCCAGGGCCTTGCCTGCGGCCACACGGCACAGCGGCCTGCAGCCAGCGCCCAGAGCCGCCCGCCGTGCTAAGGCCCAGCCTCGCTTCCCAGGCCAGGGAGCCCAAGGCCGTCATGAAGATCGAGCACCTGAACGCCAGCTTTCAGCCGGCCAAGATCGGTCACCCTCACGGCCTGCAGGTCACCTACCTGAAGGACAACAGCACCCGGAACATCTTCATCTACCACGAGGACGGGAAGGTGGGTGCGAGGCCGGGCCGTGGCGCGGGGGCAGCCCCGCCAGGCGCCTCGGGAGAGCTAGAGGCCACCGGCCCGCCCTCCGTGGCCCGAGGGGCGCCGGCCGGTCCTCTGCTGGCGACCCAGAGTGCATGGGGAAGGGAGGGTGGCCGCAGACTGGGGGGGCAGTCGCAACGTTCTGCCCTGCGGCCGACCCACTGCCCCCCACCTGCCATCTCGGGGTGGGGGGCCAGGAGAAAGCCCTCAGCCGTCCTTCTGTCCCCGGGGGGCCCCTCGTCACTGTGGCTTCACGTTGTTTCGGTCACACGTGTACGTGCGCGTGGTTTAGAGTGAAGAGTGCTGAGGCCTGAGATGGGACGCGGGCTCCGTGCGCCCCGCCCCCCGGCTGCTTTCCTGACTGGCCATCGGGACTGTGTCACGGGGGCGGTGCGCTGGTGCCACACACATCCACACTGGCTGTGGCCGTCACCGCCGTCATCCGCAATGCCATCGTCCCAAACAGGGACCGTCCCCATCACACACTACCCCCCCAGCCCTGGGCACCTCTGACGCCTCCCGGTCCGCACATGAGTGAACTCACACAGCGCGTGTCCTTTCGTGACTGGTTGATGTCACTCGGCACACTGTCCCCGAGGTCCGCCATGGTGCAGCAGGTGTCGGGGTTTCCTCCGTCTATAGGACTAGGCAGCACCCCACTGCTGGGGGACCCCCTGCGTCTCTCAGTCGTCCGTCAGCGGACACCTGCGCGGCCCCACCCGGTGGCTGCTGTGAGCTCGGGGCACAAACACCTCTTGGAGACCCGATTTTGGGGCACAGACCTGAAGTCCAGTTGCGGAGCGAATGAATCCATGTTGTTTACTTGGCGACGTCCACCTGCTGCCCCTGCGGCCGGCTGCTCGTGGCCACCAGGCGCCCCTCATCCACGCCAGCACGGGCCACACCGGTCAGTGGCGGGTGGGCGTCTTGGCCCCGTTTCCCTAGTGACCAGTGACGTCGTGCTTCTCGTCCTGGCCGTCATGCGTCTCCCTCCGAGAAATGTGTCCAGTCCTCGTGCGCTTCTGGATCGGGCTGCGTCCCTGCCTGGAGTTACTGTCCTCTGGGCGGTGACCCCTCCTCAGGCAGCAGAGGTGCCCTGCCGTCTGCGGGAGCTCGACTCTGTCCACAGTGTCTTTGATGCACCAAGATGTGGAACTGTCACGAAGTCTCATCTGACCCGTTTTCCGTGTGTTTTCTATGCCTTCGGTTTTACAATCAGGAAATTAGAGTGTTTTCCTCCAAGAGTTTTACTGTTTCAGGTGTTACATTTAGGTCCGTGATTGACCCCGAGTTAATTCCTGTGTGTGGTGTCGAGCGGGGTCCAGCCTCACTCTTCTGCATGCAGAGTCCAAGTCCCCAGCAGCGCGTGCCGGCGAGACGGTCCCCACTGAGTGCTCACGGCTCCCTCGTCAGCGTCATTGGCCGCGCGTGCGGGTTGCTCCCGGGCCTGTCCGTCTGTCCGTCTTGCCGCGCTGATTGCTGGGGCTCTGGAGTCTGTTTTGAAGCCAGGACGGGTTGGGCCTCCAGTGTGGGTTTTCCTCTGAAGGGGCGTTTGGCTTTTTCCTGTTCTGTTGAGAGCGTGTGTGAATTTTGTCACGTGCAGTTGGTGCATCAGTTGCGACAGCCGTGCTTCTTCCTTCGCGGGTTACTGGGGTGTGTTACGGCGGCCGATGTTGGCGTGTCGAACCGGCCTTGCGTCCCAGGAGCGAATCTCACTTGGCCGGGGTGTAGGACCCCAGCGAAGCAGCCGAGGCGGGTCCGCGGCGCTCCGCGGAGGGGCTGCGTGCGTTCGCCGTGTGTTCACCGGGGCGTCGGTCCGCGGTGTTTCCTGCGGTGTCTTTGGCTCCGGGTCAGCGTCGTGCTGGCCTCGGGGAGTTCGGAATCGGTCCCCCGGCAGGGTTTGGAGGAGTCTGAGGACCGGGGCAGCCTCGTTTGGGGGCTCAGTCCCGGGCCTGCCTCGTGGGACCGGTGCTGACCGCCCCGGGCTGCTTGCTCGTCGTGGGTCTGCTCAGACTGTGTGTCGCTGCGTTTCAGTCTCGGTAGGCGTTGTGTTTCTAGGAATTTGTGTTTCGTCTAGATTGTCCAATTCTGGGGTGTACGGTGGTTCACAGCATACTCTTTGTTTCTGTGGAATCGGTAGCTCTGTCCCCACTTTCATTTCTGACTTCAGTAATTTGAGTCTTCTCTCTTTTTTTCCTGAGTCTATCTAGTTTCTCAATTTGCTGATCTTTTCAAAGAACCAACTTTAAATTTTATTTTCACTATTGCTCTTTTGTTCTCTTTCATTTATCTCTGCTCTAATCTTTATTATTTCCTGGCGTCCGCTGGCTTGGGGTTCTGGTTCTTTCTCTGATTCCTCCAGCAGTAAAGCGAGGCCGTTGGCGTGAGGTCTTGTTTTCTGACGTCCGCAGAGACAGCTGTGAATCCCCACTTCGCGCTGCCGCCGCGGCCGCTGGGGCTTCGCGTGCCGTTTCTCTTTCATTTGTCCCCAGCAGCTTCTCATCGCCCTGGCGGCTTCTTTTAACCTGTTGGTCGTTTAATTTCCACAACTGTGAATTTTCCGGATTTCTTCGGGTCGCTGACTTTTAACTCCGTCCGTTGTGGTTACAGAACAGACTTGGTATGAAATCCGGCTTCTAAGATCCACGGAGATGCGTCTGTGGCCTCGCAGCGGCCCGTGCCCCGTGCGCCCGAGGAGGCGGGCGCCGTGTCCCTGCGGAGGGCTTTGTGGCGTCGGGTCGTTCGGCGCGTCGTGTCCGGCCCGTTTCCTGGCTCATCCCCTGCCCGGTCCCTCCGCGTTGTTGAGCGCGCGGCTTCGCAGCCCCCAGCTGTCCCTGTAGAACTGTCTGTTTCCCCCTCGATTCCGTGTTCGCTTTCGATTTTGGTGGTCTGTCATTCGATGCATAAACGTAATGCTAGCTTTTACAGTAATGATTGTTTTTTCCGTTTTGTTTTGTTTTTTTTTTTAACACCCACAGCACCCGGTCTTCCCAGGCGGTCTCCCATCCAAGTACCAACCAGGCCCGACCCCGCTTAGCTTCCGAGATCAGACGAGATCGGGCGCGTTCAGGGCGGCGTGGCCGCAGAAATCGTAGTTTTTAAATGTCTTTGTCTCTTAAATCACGTGTTAAGCAAAAAGCACCGTTACCGACCGCTGTCACGACCCTGGCGCTCACAGTGGGCCACGTGCTGCCTCGCGGAGTCGCCCTCTCTCCGTGCGGCTTTGCGGCCGTCCCGTCTGTCCCCTTCGCCTGCGGGAACCCCCGAGCATTCCCCGGCGGCCCCCCTCCCTCCAACCTGCTTGGGTGTGGGTGAGCCTGTTGGACATGGCTCCGTCCTCGGTGAGGCAGTGGGGACAGGCATCAGGCACAGCCAAGTGACTGAAATTCTAACCTTGCTGAGTGCTGGGAAGAGAGCACATAATGGTGGGAGGGGTGACCTGGTCCCAAGGGGTGGGGACAGCACTCCAGGACATCTGAGTGGCGTGTGCACAGGGCCTGTGGATGGACAGAACAGGACACGTCCAAGAAGGCGGACGAGGTGGGAGAGGGAAGCGGTGGCACACAGTGTGAGGGGGCCGGCCAGCGTCGGCCGGGCCTGGTGGCCACGCCGTGGACCTGGCTCAGCCTGGCCTTTCGGGTAGTCCCTCCCCCTGTGCTGTTCTCAGTGATTCACTGGAGGGCCTGAGGGACGTGGGGCGGCCAGCGCTAGTGACCAGGCAGAGGCTGGTCTCTGGCCCCAGGGGAGGGGTCAAGGAGCTGGAGGCCCCAGTGGTGCAGTGGAGGGGGGCGGGGGCTCCTGGCAGGGTCCAAGTTAGAGGGGACACTGCAGCTCTGCCTTGGGGGGGCGGGGCCTGGGCGCAGGGCTTCCCGGGGCCGGCTGGCTCTGTGCCGACGGGGTCTGTGCCTGACATGTGGGCAGGAGGCTGCTCAGAGCCTGGGGACCAGGGAGCACCAGGGTTGACGGGCCTGGCTGTGGCCAGGTGTTGGCAGAGGAAACAGGTTGGGTTCATCCAAAGCTGGGGGGACCCCAGCACGCCAGGTCCTGGGAGGGGAGGGCCGGGTGCCTCTGTGTGGGGAAGGCAGGACCCGGGGGCCTTCACAGGGCAGAAGGCGGAAGGGCAGCTGTGGGGAGGCAGCCGGGGTGGCTGCCACACGGACACGGGGCCCACGGGGCCCGCGCGGCACCAGCTGCCCCCAGCGCAGTTGTGACCCTGCTTTTCCCCCGGAGGGCAGGGCAGGCCAGGCTGCTGGGTGGGCTTGAGCAGACGAGCTGCTTCTAGAGAAGAGGCCACACGAGTCTCGGAAAAGCCATCTGAGAAAGGCCACTCACTGTCCAAAGCTGGGACGCGGCCCCCACTTGCTGTCCCCTGCCCACCCCGACAGCCTGGTTCCTGCCCAGCCCCCTCGAGCTCCCCCCGCGGGGCTGTACCCACTCTCCTGCCTGCGTGCACAGCGGCTGCCACCCAGCATGGGCACACCGCAGGGCCGGCCTGGATGCAGCCTGTCCTGGCCCCCGGCCCCGAGGGATGGGGGTGGGCCTGGAGGCGCCCAAGGGGGCAGGCTCACCCACAGCGGCCCGCACCCCGCTCTGCCCCCAGGAGATGGTGGACTGGTTCAATGCGCTGCGTGCCGCCCGCTTCCACTACCTGCAGGTGGCCTTCCCGGGCGCCAGTGACGCCGACGTGAGTGGCTGCTGTTGCCTGGGGCCCTGGAGGCGGATTAGGGGTGACCCACGGCCCACCTGGACTGCCTGAGGCCCCTGAGGCGACCACAGTGGGCTGA